TCATCTGCATCCCTTTTCCGGAAAAGGTGTGCAGTGTAGACACAGCCATTAAGTTTACAGATGACACTAAGCTGGGAAGGGTTGCAACTGTTTTGGAGGATAGGGTCATAATTCAAAATGATCTAGACAAATTGGAGAAATGGTCTGAGGTAAACAGGATGAAGTTTAATAAGGACAAATGCAAAGTGCTCCACTTAGAAAGGAACAATCAGTCTCACACATACAGAACTGGAAGCAACTGTCTAGGAAGGAGTACTGCAGAAAGGGATCTAAGGGTCATAGTGGCATGAGATTATAATGTGGCATGAAACTCAGAGCACCACCGTCCCTACATGGTGCCCCAGCTCCAAGAGCTAGAACTTCAATAAAAACAGCCAGAATTTGTGGGGCTCATGAAAGAAATCACAAGAGTTGGCAACCCTGTTATAAAGGAGGCCAGACTAACCTCCAAAATGGAGATCTGCAAAATAATAAACAACCATCCTTTGCACTTAAATGGCACGTTGCTGTCATTGTTATACGGAAGTCTAATCATTTCTATTTGTATTTTAAAGATGGGGAACCTGAGGCACGGGGCAGGCATGTAAATTGCGCAAGGTTACACAGGAAGCCAATGGTAGCACCATAAAAACAGCCCCGGGCATCCAACTGTCACAACAACATCCTCACACTTCACCGTGCTGCTTCCCAAGAAGTAAGCATTCTACAGAACGCGCAAGATCACCTGTTCCACTGGCACGCCTTCCTGCCTCCAAAACTGTTCAGCCTGGCCTCACAGAACTGAGACAAGGCACCCATCATGCAACTGCTTCTCTCCTCCACTGAGTTTTCCTTGCATTGCACCCTTTCCTGCCATAGAAGCACTGTGCAGAATCCATTCCTTTGCAAATACATGCCTTGGATTAAATAAAACATCTGGATGATATCAGGGTGTGATTCCTACCAGCTTCCTTCTATATCCCTTACTTATGATGAATATGTATTTCATGTTGCTGGAATTACATGGGTTGGTAGGAGATTACGCAACATAATAAATAATAATAATAATAATAATAAATTAATTAACACTTTAAATTATTTATCCTTTGTATTTATCATAGCCCTGCCAACCAGCCTCAGGACCTAGTTATGGGACAAGACCTAGTTATGGGACAAAACTCCATTGTGCTGGTTGCTTCACGCACACAGAGCAAAGAGTCTCTGTCCTGAAGAGCTTACAATCTAAGTATAAACAGAAACAACAACTAGACACAGGCAGATGGGGAATACACAGAAACAAATGAGACAACATTTGACATGATAATAGGCTGTAATCTCAGGACCTGAGCAGCCGAAGCACTGCTAATTGTTGGTAGGAATCACAGCAAGGAAAGCGAAGGAGGTTTTTGAAAGAGGACAATGAGAAAGTTTTATGGATGTTCACAGTGAGGTTTTTCCCAAGAGAGAGGGGCCGCATGGGAGAAAGAACACAGGTTCCGGGTTGTGCTTACGCTCAGTTCCTGCTTTACACACAAGTAGTCCCATTGAACCCAACAGGTCTACTCACAATGTGTAAAGTTATTCACACACATAAGTGTTTGCTACAGTGGTGGCTTTGAGGCAGAGATTGCATTGTCTGTACATTCTGCAAAGTTCCTGGCTTTGTATGGATCAAAAGTCTGCAAAAAGTGGTTATGTAAATTGTTTAGCGGGGTATAAATTAGAGGAATTTGTTTTAAAAACTCTGGCCCAGCCCTTCACCGAATGAATGCAGTGGGAGCCTGTAACTGCCTTCAAAGGGAGGCGAATCCCAGTGCAATGTCAAACGAAACTAGCAAACGAAACCATGTCAAAGGGATGCTATGATATATTTTGCAACTTGTTATTGTAGATTGTAATCATTACTCTCCGCCTCGAGCATTGCTCTGTGTATTCTATATATTTTGTTGTACTTGTAAGAGTTGATAAGAACATATAACAGGGGTGACCAACCCGTTCCAGACGAAGAGCCACAATAGCAGTGGAGACAGCATGAAAAGACGGAGCAAAGTTGTTGAGAAGAACAAACAAACAAACAAACTCCGCATCCTAGGACATGGCTTTTTTTGGGGACAACTTTCCCCCAGGCCTTTGCGGCCCTGACCGTTTTTTTGTTTTTGTTTTTGTTTTTGTTTTTTTGGCTCAACAACTTTGCCCTGGCTCTTCACACTGTTTCCACTGCTATTGTGGCTCACAAAAAAAGTCCTAGGGAGGGGTGAGAGGTGCAAGCTCTGGGAAGGAATTTGGGTGCAGGAGGAAGTAGAGAAGAGGATGCTGGCTCAGGGAAGGGGTTCCAGGCTGGAGAGTGTTGGGGTCAGGTGGTGAGTTGGGGTGCGGAGCAAGCTGAAGGCTTGTGGCTGTGAGGGTGCAGGAGTTTGGGCTGGGATGCATGAGGGGCTTCGGGCAGGGAGGCTGGGAGTATGATGGGCTCAGGACACAGATTTGCAGTGTGTGGATGGTGCAGGAGTGTTGAGGCAGAAGACTGGGGATGTGGGGGTGCAGGAGTTTGGGGATCTGAGAGGCTCAGGGCAGGGGGATCTGAGAGGCTCAGGTTTGGAGCCTGGGGGGAGGGTGCAGGAGTGTTATGATGCTGCAGCCAGATGGGGGCTTGGCCCCAACTGGGGGCTGGTTGGCCAGGCTTCATTTTTACATATAATATTATGTCAAACAAAAAATGTTTCAGCATTGTCTTTATTTATGAGAGGGGCGGGGAACCTGTTTTGAGTCAAGGGTCACTGATCCACAGAAAAGTCAGTCAGAGACACACCAGTGAGATGCAAAAAAACAACCCCTCCAACCCCCCCCCCCAAGCCTCTCTAATGTGGCCCCAACTGTGCTGGTGGAAGCAGGGGACAGGGTGTTGGGGAAGGGTACTCGTGGGGGGGTCTGGCCAGGAGGAAGGGACAGAGATAGCTGGGGCCACTACCTCGGGATCCCGGGTCTCAGGAAGCGCACCTTCCCCCAGGCATCCCCTTGCTCCAACCCAATCCCCCTCCCTTCCCCAGAGCCAGGCACACCCCCTCCAATCCAATCCCCCCCAAAGCCAGGCACTGACCCCCTCTCTATACCAATTCCCCTCCCCCCCAACCTAATTCTTGGGTCCCATGCATCTCCCTCCAGCCACGTGTCTCCCTCCCGGCGCTGGGGAGCGAGCCCCGAGTGGCTGGC